TTATAAGAGATATTACTAATTTAATAGCATAAAAAACATAAATATATATGATCGCCTCTTATACTGTCTTTCGGAACTAAATCAGCAAATCGCACAAGCAACAGATTCATCAAAATAAAAGTATAAATTTAGACAACCAGAATATTTCAGCCAAAGTAACCGATTACTCTGTATTTCGTAAAGCTAGATTCCAAGCCCCCATTCAAGAGACCAAACGACTAGAATCGGCAAATTTTGACAGCTTATCTTACCTAATGCTACTTTTTTATATTTATTTTCTGATCTTACTATGTAATTTTCTAATCTTATGCCCTAGTTATGGGTGTTAGATTTGGTTCGGTGTTTATAGAGAATGCTTTTTGGGGCTTAATACACATTTTTCCACCCACCGTCAAATTCTATACTAATGACAATTGTAGCATGTCTTCTAATGATTATCTGCCCCTACTATTACCTTTTCCATACTTGCCTCATTCATATCCTCATTGCAAGCCTTGCCGTCTGACTAAATAAATGCATAATCTCTCCATCAATTAGTTCAAATCCCTTGAAATGGCATAACAATAAATTTAAACATTTTAATTTCCGCTTGCCGAAAAGGGGAAACGGTATTTATAAACCAGCTGTGTCTGTTGCTTTCCTATATAAATCAAGGATTCTGTCACAAGGCTTGATCAATCTGCGTTTTTATCGGTCTGTTTAGAAGTAAATTTATCAGTCATAATAAATATTTTAATGCCAAACAAAATTTGTCTCGTTCTTCCATTATAATAAAATTAGGTTTTACAAACCATCTTTTTAGATATTCACTTAGGTCATTGTTTTTGCTTCTTATCATAACTTTCATCTAAAACTTTTCTTCTTGGCTCAACATTTGCCCTTCAAAAGTCAAATGAAAATCACATAATACAGCTCTCCTATAGATTGTAAACTAGCTAACCTTCTGACATTTAGCTGATGGCAGGTAGGCAGGAGGTAATATCAGTCGGGTATCTTATCGATACCTCAGCCATAGGGATAATCTTAGTTATCAGAATGTTTTTTATTCATGCATTTATTTATTCAACTTAATGCGAAGGCCACACTGTCCATTATAGAAATGCAACGGCCTGAAAAGACTAAGACATCATCATCATTTTTATTCTTAATATAAATTTATTATAAAAATGCAGCATTCTCATACTCGCATCAGCCGATAAGTCACAAACTCAATCTGTTTTTGGATCTTTAAAAGAAGTTAAAGCTCATTTTTATTTATCAAAAAACTATGTACAAATTGCTTTTTTTGGAATTTTAGGTTTTAACCGGTATATCATGTGGAATAATGAATCAACTTGAGGATAATAAATCGTTATTTTCTAGATTTTTTGACATATTGAGCCTCGAATTAGTCACCCAGACGCAGGGTACGGCCAATAACACCTAAAGTTGGCACAGATGGGGTGGCAGGGGTCGAGTGAAATATGTAAACGCAGACAAATCTTACGGAGTAAGAGAGAGACTGTGGTGAGACCTAGGGAAGGAGGACTGCGTAACAATATGGCAGACTACGATCAACATTTTCCAGCACAAGGATGAAGGGCAGTGAGAAGGCCAGCGTGAAGTGCGGAGGGTTCTCATGAAAGTCGCTCAAAAGGGCACGCCGTACCATAATTAATTAAGCTTGTAAAATATTGCGACAGTGAAGGCGTGATTTGAGGATATAGGAAATGTGAATATGCCAGGGCAGAATGGGAGATACCATAACTGTTTAGAACACGCTTGGCCAAAGGATCGGCTTCACTTGTCTCTTTGACGAATGGTAATATGGTACTACGAATGGTAAAACTCACTGACGATGCCGACTACGATGCTGGCGAAACGTCTGTAAATGTACCACGTCCACGGTCCGACTTTGAAAATAATTATGTATGCAATGGACTCAGGACAAGGTGTGTTCCTATAAGTCTTCTTACCAATATGACCAAGTTGCGAAAACAAGGTCAAACAACTTCCAAACAACGAAAGAAGACTGCGATTACACAAAAGGCCACACCATCTTGGTCTTCATATCTTTAAAAAGAACAGTCTTGTTGTTATGTTACAGCTTTTAAATAACAAAACCAAACGCTCTGTTTATTGACCCGGATTACTTGATCTTATAATATAAAATGAAAGACCGTTAAACTTTGCTAATATTTAATGATAAAATAAACAGGGAAGCTAAATGAATAAGGGTTTACAAATCAAGTAGGATCAAAATGCGGCTCATGATGATTACGTTAAAAGGGGAAAGTGGAGATAAAATGATCATCAATTCTGAAGGCTGCAATTTGAGGTGAAGATGAAAAGGAAATTTTAAGGATACTTTTGATGGTTTTTCAGTTCTGCAAAACTAGTGTTATAATGGCTGCGGATACAGATGGCTAATATCACGGGTCTATAAAGCTTAGACTATCGGTAAAGTCAAACTGGGCCTATTTAACAAAAAAGTACAGTTTAAAATATAACGAGCTATATGAAAGTACTTTACCTCAAATGCTGATATATCCACTTACAGAGTAGAAGACAAAAGGGTAATTGCTGAATAAAATTTAGTATATATTAGAAGGCGGAGGGATGTTTCTTAGTCATTAAAAAATTCTTAAGAGAAGAGGAAGGATGTGATAATGTAAACTTAGGACGGATCCTATGGGTAGAGATGGAAACTGTAAATTGTGCCTGTCACTTAGTGTCTAATGAAACGTAAACAACGACAACTGAGCTTAGGATTACATATAAAAGGTGAAGGCCCTGAACAATATATTGGAAATTATGCTTAATGAATGTAAGCAGCATCCTATGTTATAAAGTATCTATATATTTTTGTATTTTAAAATAGAATCCTTTAGAATTAATTAATAATTAACCTATTGATAAAATATATTAAAATACATAATTATATGAATGCTGGGTTTGAGCATCTTTGGACATTTTGTTCAACCCATGTGATCGCCGTTTCCCTTTCAATATTAGTGCGCCTAATTGGTCGCCAGCTGTTCGCAGCTACTACATTAAAATGGCTTGTGTAAAGAGACTCAAGGATGAGCAGAGGATTTTAATGGAAGTCTTTCCTAAGACACACCGTGTTTTTCAAATTGTTTCCTGTACACTAGACGAAATATCCTGTAAATTTTGTACAAAATCTTCATTTTTTGAAATCGTTGGTAACCTGACCGTGAGTTTAACTTTAGCTTAAATATCATTTGTCTTACTTGAATTTTGAATATCATAATTAAGCAAATCACCTGGTTTTATTTTCGGCATTATACTTTTTGAAGCCATAGCATCTTTTAAACAAAAGCAGGGTTATTTATTCCCCGTGCTTCTTTCATTCCAGGAAAATTACCCTCGATCCCCTCCCATCTGGTTCTCAGATTCAGAAGATGCAATTATCGCAGCAGTTTTCGAGGAACTTCAGAACACTGATCCAGAAAACTACACTGTATGATCTATTATTCTCTTCATTGATTTATAGATTGGACGGCAAATCAAGCTCATGGTGTCTCGTCTATGTCGGTACAACGGACTTGATATTCCATTTGGAATCGATAAGCTTTGTCCTGATTTTCAAATAAGCTTGGTAAGCTGTGACCGTTCTTTTATATAGAATCCTTCTGTCCTATTCTTATTATATATGCTAGATGGCTTTTAATTCATATTTGTTTTGTATAATATGTATTTATAAAGTTTAGTTTTGAGTATTATAGTTTGAACAAATGTTTGACACTGCTTTTTTCTTCTTAAGAGCACTTCTGCAAGCTCCGAAGCCTCCTGTTCCTCTGGGTCTTCATCTAGAGTTCATTCTAGCACTATCATTAAGCCAACTCCTGTTGCAAATTCCCAAGAGGAAGATGATGAAGGAAATAAAGGGGACGATGATGATGAAGAAGCTGATGGTGAAGATGAAGCCGAAGTTGGTGCGATTGGAGATGTCAATGTTGGCGAACCTGAGATGTTCGGTAGTGATGCAGAGGATACTGGATTTGAGGATGAAGAAGACATGCATATGCATGATGCCTTTGAAGAAACGTAAGTGATACGGCAATTAAACTTTTATTATGTTGCTGATATTGATAGGTTTGTGATTTTCTTCTTGGTATTACTGTGCTTTATTGTTACGTCCACGGTTGGAATTACCTTTTTGGACTTAAGAATGCTATGTGAAATAAATAGTGATTTTTTTAATCCACTATACAGTTATATATAGACCATTGTGCCCAATTTTGAATGTCAATCTATAAGTGAACTGATGAGAATATTCATATATTATTGTTTTGATACTTTGCCCTTTGGTGAATTGATGGAATGTACTGACAGTTATGAGGTAATTATGTTATTTTATTAGACTAATTGCTTCTGGTCTCTTGAGGAACAACTTTTGTGATTGAAAAAATGTTTGAATGGAATTATTTTCAGCAACATGTCAGAATTAAGCATAGTCCTTGATGCTGAAGTTCTATTTTAAGAAAAATTATTTACCTTGTATAGGAATTAGCAAGCAATTTTTCTATGATTATTCAATTATATTTTGACATATATATAGCTCTTTATAGGATCCGTCTGTTGCGTGATTTTGTTTGCATGTATAACAAGCTTTGGTATGCATTGAGTAAAGATTCTCTGAATAGAGGATGGCCTGTTACAGTTGTAACAA